TTAACAACAAAGAGTGAAGGGTTAACTTCAGCAGCAACTCTTATTAGACTATTTTATTTTCAAAAAGTATGAAATCAGCTAGAACCCAAACAACCAGATATTAGCTGTCAATAATCTACTCCTTCTAAGATGCTGAGAGACTATCAGTGATTATTAGGCTCTATCATGGACTGCTCATAGATATACAGAGGGAGATTTACTTAAAGTGGATCATTCAGAATCTGGTGCAGCTGTACATGGTAGCCAATCAGCTTCTAATTTCAGTTTGTTCAATTAAGCTTTGACATTAAAACCTGGAAGCTAATTGGTTAATATGCACAGTTGCACCAGTTTCTGTGTGCACCAGTTTTAGTAAATCTCCCCCAAAATATACAGTTTGGCCATTGCCCAGTACCTTTGAATATGGAAGACACTTCTTTGGGGTCAAGAACTAATTACAAAGGATTTTCAGAAAATTGCCATGGTTTAACCGCAGTACAGCTTGCCGCATGAATACTTGCTCAATGCATAAAAATGGACACAAAATATACTTACTGGTTTATGTTGTGATACTTCTATGCCTGATGTGTCTGGGTAGTCTTCCCGCATGGCACTGTCCTTTGTGCTATGTGTTTTAAATTTCCCATCTGATTTTTCAACTCTTGCTTTACAATAAGCTTCCAATGACATTTAGAAGCAGCATCATCACGAAGCCAAGGAGCAGGCTGGGTCATTTCAGCATGGAAATCGTATTATTGATGCACTTTTAGGCGTTTTGTTGCCTTTTACTTTATTATCCAGACTTGCTGTATGCTGCCTTCCTCTGTCCAGTAGTTATTAGTACACAAGTCTTTAAAAAAGTCTTCCAAGTAGCAACTATAAATCTGCACACTGCCAGTGGTGTAATAATTTACCTTCGTTTCCCAGGAGCAGATGTCATACTTATCATGGAGTTTTGTGGCCTATTTGCTGGCATTATTAGGGGAGTGTAGGATTGCATTCACACTGGGTGGGAGCTGGGACTCTGGTTGTTACAGTGTATTAATTAGCCTGGGTTATTAGCACATGCAGGTGACAAGTAAGGCAGCTGTTTCAAGTGTTTAAGGAATGCATCCACCTTGCTTTCCAACAACACAATTCATTGTCTAGAATGAGGCCTCCTTGTACCCTCCAAAAGTAATAAACTTGAATTAAATGATTTACAGCTTAAATGCATTTTCACTTGAATGTTGTATAACTTTACGTTATGGTATATAGTTTGTTCTTCCTCACAAGCTGAAACACTATAGGTAATTATTACAAAGTAGAAGGTATTTGGGGTATTACTATGTTGTGGATAAGGACAAACAAGAAGGCAATATAAATGAGTGTCTGTGTTTGTGGGACTTAATTATCACACAGGATTTATATAGCACCAACAGTTTGCTCAGCGCTTTACAATATAAATGAAAATCATGTCTGCCTGAAATGCCGATGAATTCAATTTTTACACTGAACACTGATTTATGAAATGCACCAAAAAATGTTCTGTTTGAAGGATTTGAACAAGACAGTGGGGTTATTTGCTAAAATTGCATGGTGCAAAATCTGGTGCAGCTCTGCAGAGAAACCAATCAGCTTCCAAGTTTTATTGCCAAAGCTTAATTGAACAGGCTGAACTTAGAAGCTGTTTGTCTACCATACACAGCTACACCAGATTCTGAATACTCCAGTTTTAGTAAATCTACCCCAGTGTGATTATTGTGCCAAATAATGCAAAAAAAAATCCTACAACAGTTTCCGCCAAATAAATAATTTTTTTAGAAAACAAATTGGTCAATATTTGGCAACAAGCTCTTTGTGCTGTGACATAATAATTTATATTAAATGCAATTTGCCACAATCAGATGTGCCATGTGCCACATTGTATTTATCTACAACCACCAATCATTGTTTACCTGGTCCTCTGTATATTGTCTATTTACTCTGCCAGCCACAGTGTTATGCCTGGATATATTTACCATGGGAGCATTGCAGGTCTTTTAGGGGGGGGCATCATTTTTAAGTGTAACTTTAGTATTTATCAAGGTCCCTATCTTTGTTTAGGTTTTTTTTATCAGCTGCAAAATTTTGCGAAGTGTTAAGCATAACAGACAAAGATTGCTCGATGGAAGGGGGCAAGCATGTAGGAAACTCTATTTAGGATTGCCTTTTACTGATATGCCCCCAGCGGCTTCATGCTGTCATCCTTATTTAGCTTGCCTTGTATTGTATAAATAAGTGTATTGTCAGTTCAGTTTAAAATGAATTACCTTTTGTTTCATCCTGATAGGGTTACATTACAGTGATATGTGACAGGATAGGCTAAAAAGGGGTAACAGGACCCCCTCCAAAAATGTAGGTGCTCTAGTTGGCCCTGTTGGCACCACCCAGCTCAAAAACCTTCAACTGAAAAGTCAAAGAAGCCAGGTGGGAAATTGTCGGCCAAGCAGTGAACGCATTCTAACAGATGCATTTGCTATTTGTGTATGCATGCAGCTAAACGTGCTATGACGTCCTGAAAACAATAGCTGGCAGTGGAGATTATTACATATTGTTTGGTGTGGATGGAGGAATCTATTTGATTTCTCTGATATAGAGATCTATGCATGTATGACTAGCCTTAGGCCCGTCCACAGTGCCAGGTGTATGATATAAACAGGGATACAGGGAAGTACCTACTAAGTGTAGCATAAGAACTGTTTATTAGAAACACAAAATTGGCAATTCTCATTGTAAAAAGTCAACAGACTCAAGTTTGTGATATGACTGTCTTGGGATATGTTAGTTCATATTGCACAGTAGCTTCAATTTAAATTACAGGCATATTTATATCATATAAAAGCTGTCATGGCATTACATAGTCTATTATATTTTGTACTCATTTATATAACAGAATTGTCTTGCGCACACCATACCATCTGCATTCAAGTTTTCTTTGCTTGATTCTCATTATTTGCCTGTTTTTCTAAGATTGTATTTCCTTTACCAACATTTCTCTGATAGGTGTGCTTTGTCTTGCAGTCCTAGTTCCAATCTCTCCAGTAGATATTCATTTGGTTGTGTATATGAACAGTAGGGGATGTTGGCCCCCATACTGTGAAGTCAGGCAATTTAAGTCTGAAACTTCCTCCAGGCTTGTCTTATCAGTCATTTCTGCACTGCATAGTCATTTTAGATTGAAACTTTCATAGTGTATACTCAATAGCACTTTACAACAAGGAATGTTAAATCTGAGAGTTGAGCAGCTACTGTAAATCTGAAATTCCTTCTGTCAACCCGAGTACAGCATCTGCCTTACTTTCTTCATCCCTGTGACGTCATATGTTGAACAGCAGGAGTCACTGCCATCTGGCTAGCCCATTGCCAAATGGCCCCTGAGAGGCACTGCAAGGTCTATGTTGTAGCTAATGAGTTGTCTTAATATAAGCACAAGACTTTTTAAAGCTGCCTGAACATGTGCAAATCAGGCTGAGTAAAATTTCTCCCCCTCTTGGTGGCGGGCAGCCCAGTCTGGAACAGATTTGACCATTCACAGCCATGGATAAATCTGACAGGTATGGGAGGTCCATACAGATGCCAACTGCTGATATTGTGCAACAGACAATAAATGTGATAACTTAGGAGCCGCTCATATACCAATGCCACCATTTTAATAACTGAATCATTCATTCCATCTAAACAGAGCAGATAATTATCAGGAGGGAAGGTTGGTGGTTGCCCATATACCCATTGGCAGTGGGCAGAGAAGGTCTAAAATGAGGCTTCTGTAAAAATAGGCCACCAATGCCTTATGTAAATATATTCTGCAGATATATTGCACATTTTAGGGTGCAGTCTTTATTTTTTATAATTTAATATACAACAAATATATAACAAATAATAAACCAATAGTTCACATACAGTGACATAAAAGTCCCAAACACTTAAAAAGTCCACAGCCTGTGACTGGACAGTGAAAGGAGAAGCAGCAGACTGATTAACTCATGTCTCTGTCACTCTGCTCTCTCCTTCTATCAGCATGTCCCTTGATAGCACATGAGCACTCTAACACAGCTGATTGGCTCCTTGTTTTGCTTCTCCCTCTCTAAAAACACATAAAAAATTCACCTGGAATGCACCAAAAAATGCACCAGAACTCATGAATGAAAAAACAAAAAATGCACCAGAATGCGCCAAAAACTAATCAAAAACACGCATTCAGAAACACATCCAGAACGTATCTGGACTGCGTTTCTATAGTGTGAACCAACCCATAAAGATTCTACTCTTTAGGAAGATAAAACTGCTAAGTTTCTTTGTTCAGAGTAGCAGGCAGCGGTGTATGGTACAATGTAGGAAAGAGACTTGTACCTGCTTTATTCAACGCTTTGCCTTTATAAATATAACACTGTAGAAATATGTCAGTCTGATATGAAGAAATGTGTTAGTGATAATATTGCTAAAATATATCACATCCTGTAGCTGACATTTGTTGCACTATGTGAGTCATACAATTCTGATCATATTGATATTCACAGATTTTCCAAAACACTGACGTGGCTGATTTATGGTATTTTGTTGGTGCTTTTTGTGTATTCTTTTTTTTTACATGTCGAATGGTCAGCTTTTATACATTGGAATCTCTAGTATGCAGATGAGTCAGGGTGATGTGCAAAGTGTGTGCAACTAATTAGCATATTCTCAGATAGAGCATATTAGTGGCACATGTTTCAGAAAAGAGCAGAAAAATGAATTGCAAAGTGTTCTAGCATTTGTGCAGATGTCCGTATAATTGTCTTGATGAAGTCAACATTGAAAAGAGAAAATTACTCACGGCACTGGTTAGTACAACATACAATTGCAGCTACTCTTCATAAATACAGATTAAAATAGCACTGGATAATGGGAAGAATGGTATTTATTTGTTGACGTTACTTGCTGATCGGTCATCTTTGTTATCTAATTTTCCTTTTCAATTTTTTTTAATGGCTGTCCTCTTCTATGATTGGGGCTAACATCAGAATCCTGCCTCATGGCGAGATCACGATGATGCAGTATCCACACATTCTGCTGGAACGCCGGGACCCTCCAGTGGTGGCCATGCTTCACAGAGTGGGGACAACAGCAGTGAACAAGGTAGGACCCACTTTAAAATTATAATTATTATTATTATTATTATACAGTATTTATAAAAGCGCCAATAGTTCGCTCAGAGCTGTACATTACAAAGGGGGACAGAACATGTGACAGAACAATACCAATACAATGCAAAACATGAGGGGATTGAGGGCCCTGCTCTTTCGAGTTTACAATCTAGGAGGATAATGACTATTGTCCATAATTCATTCATTGCTATAATAGGAAAGTCATCTGACCTTTATTAGCAAAATTCAGCAACATAACTATATTACACCTGACAGCTTGACTTCTGCTTCAGATAAGCAATGTTTGTAGTGCTTGAAGTGAGCAAGGAAAGTTCAGCCATAGATAAATATGTTTTTTTTTATTAAAATGTGTCTATGAAATGTATATTCATAGAGAACAAGATGCTGTATGGCAGTCTGACTTGGTCATAATCTTATCTCTAACAACTTAAAGCTCAACTCCAACCTTTTTATTTTAGTTTTGCTTAGAGGTTTTTATTTTTTTCCTGTGTTTTCATTGTGAAGATTTCCATCGTTTGTTGTCCCTCTGAGCTAGGGGTATGGGTGTCACTGGGACAAGAAGACACAGACAGCAAAAAAAACATTCTCAGAAGTTTTAACCTAACACAACCCCATATACCAGGAATAAAAATTAGGTTCAAAAGTGTAACATGCTTGAGTTTGTTGTATTAGATGCATTTAAGATGACTGTCCTTTAGATGCATGGCTGTGTAATCATGTAGAATCCATTGATAAAGCATTACATTGATAAAGGTATGGGGTCCAAACCCTTGTACATAACATGAATATTGTTCCAGTTGACATGCCTTGACCTTCTGAGTCAGATGGCATATGAGGCATGCTGCTGACAATCCCATTTGTTTGGTCTGTCTTTTGATGGTATTATGAATGTTTAAATTCCTCTCTGGGTTTTACAGTATGGTTGCTTCGCCAGTTTGTGGTGCTGTAAATAATTTTGCCTTAATTTTATTGCATGCCTTAGCAGTGTAGTTTCTTTTGGTTGTTTTTTAATAACATAGACAGTGTGTAAGCAGCGATAACTAAAATATACACAAGCCTTTGTATAATTAATATTGAATTTCAGGTTGTTTTTTCTAAGCTTAGAGGCTGCATTCAGATGTTTCTGGCCTTTGTTTGGTAGACCCTCAACAATGATAGACGCCACTCAAGGCTCTACAAACCACTAGGATTGCCAACAAGGACCGAGTTTGTCCCAGCTCAAAACATCCAGTAGGGAAAGATAGTCCTAAAAGTTGCACATCACAGCAAAACCCTGTGAGGAAGTGTATGACAGCCTCAGCCCAGGCTCCAACAAGGCTACGCCCCAATGCATTTCACTCTGCTCTGGAGCTTAATCATTCCTGTAATTAGGCTCTGGGGCAGAGTGAAATGTGTTGGGGGTGTGGCCTTGTTGGAGCCTGGGCTGAGGCTGTCATACACTTCCTCACAGGGTTTTGCTGTGATACGTGACTTTTAGGATTCTCTTTCCCTACACTTTGTTTGGTAGGGTCTTGTGAGCCATATGCAGCACCCTTTATCAATCAGCTAGATATAGGAGGTGATTCAATAAGGCATTTGCAAGACATTTATGGCAATGCAGATGTAGTTGGAGACCTTGCTCCAAATTCAAGAAACCCATTTCATTGGTAGTACCGATGCATGTGACAAAGTCATGTAGTTCTTATTTGTGACACTTTCACTGTCTGTCACTATTGTTGCGACAAAGTCATAAAGTAATGCTACCATATTGGTGACAAGGAAAGTGGAGGTAAATAAGATCTTTTCCAAGTTGGAGTTAGTTGTAAGCAAAATGAGAGTAGGTTTCCTGACTGCCACACACCTCACCCGGCCATCTAGTAGACAGGTAAAAGCAGCCTCTGCCAGTACATCTAGGCCACGCCCTCCACGCATTTCACCCCAACCTGGGGTTTAATCATCAAGGGCCTCTCTTCTCATTTTGCTTGCATACTCTGAGTCTCGGGAATCCATCCACAGCCTCCATGCTCACTGATTCAGCAGCATCCATCCGACAGAACACCAACAGCCTGAGTGGGGATCCCCAAGCAATAATCTAGGGTCATTGTGTTGCTACTTTGAGTCAATTCTGCAAAATAATTATTCTGCCATTTGCCGCACCACCACGAGACAAAACTATAATGAGTATCTACAACTCTGTTTATGATTTTCACAGATTGTGTTTCATAAGTTTTGTAGACTGTAGAAGGATGGTTTCTGATGAGTTGCTAGGCGTTACTTCATAACATTACTCTTATCTTTGTGTTAATAAATAAAGGCCGGTGTGTTCTATGGGGTCTGCGGATTGTGTGGAATGTGTTTGCTGGGTTGCTATATAGCTCTGTGTACATTGTGAACTTCTCAGTGACATACTGAAGTGTATGGAAGCTGTCTACTCAGTCATGACTATACCATTGGCTGTGTTGTGTGTGTGGAACTTCCCATCAGTGTGTTGTCTGCCATCTCTCAGGCCCTGAATGCTATACAGGCTTTTGTACACAGGATGAACAGTGGGCCTCCTGCCTTTAGCATCATACATAGACAATTTTACTAGTAAACTGTGAGGAGATACAAACGTATGTCAGTGATCCCTTCAATAGGAATATTATGCATTGTATTCATTCTTTGCTGTCATTGTGTAGTTTACTTTTTAATTTTGTTGATACTTATTGGACTTTTCTATCATAAAAGATACATTTTTATATCATCAGAAGCATATTTATTTATATTGCAGAAAGCAGCACAAGCTTTGATTACTATGTTATAATGATTTTAGTAGACTTTTCCTAAAGTATAACTAAAGGCAAACCTTTTATTTTAGTTTTGGATAGAATGGAGAGGAATTAGAACACTTGTCGGGTTTTGATTGCAGTCTGTGCCCCCCGTTGGGGAGATTCACTCTCTGTTTGTCCTGTTTCCCATTATCATTGAAAGTGAAAATAAAAAAAAAAAATCCCAAATTATGGGTTGTCCCCAAAAAATCAAAGACAGGAAATTTTTTAATGGGGATGCTAGTTCTGGTGACCTGGGGGTCCCCAATGAATTCCCCCTATTTGTTGAGATAATCTCACTTCCTGTTTTGGGTATGGGACAGGAAGTGAAGGTAAATCTCCCTAATGGGACACAGAAGGTGAAAATTAAACTCACAGGGGTTTAACCCTTTCAGTACTCCATTCAAAATGAAAAAAAAAACATTTTTCCTATAGTTCTACTGTAAAGAACAAGGAGGCAAATGGGTAGTACACCATAGCACATTATATTTCCAATCTTTGTACTCCCCGCTTTACTGCAATTTTATCTTTTTAGCACAAAGTGAGTCATTACAACCTATTAGAATTCTTCGGTACCAGTATGTCTCCAGTAGTCTGGAATATGAAAGGTTATTACACATTAGTGCATTTGCACTTTATCGCTGTTCTCTGCTTGAAGTTACGCTATAAAATTAAAAGGGACACCTTTATAAAAAGGCCATTTCCCATAACAACCCATTGAGTATTTTTTTCTATTTTTTATTTTAACCTTGGAAAATGACAGGTGGAAATAGGTTGGTTGTTCTGAACATCATCTGCAGTGTTTAATTAGTTTCCTTGTTATGTGTATTAAGTTTAGAAAGTTGCAATAGATGTTGGGTACGTTTGTCCTGAGCTGTACCAAAAGCAAGCTTTAAAGCTCTGAAATGCTGTCACCCTGTAGTTCTTGTAGCGCTGCTTAGACTAGCAGTGAATTATAAGAATTCTGTATGATGGACATGTGGATGGTGGGAAGGGGAGGTGGTGGCGATGGAATTCTTTACCCTCAGGAACAGGTTTTGCTAAACTGCCCAGAGGGTTCACACACAGATCACACACCGGATTCCAGCACATTATTCACACGCCAGTGCTGCAAGCTCTTTATTTGTGTTATTATTCCGTTAAATATTTGTTGTAACCATGTACAAACTCCACTTACAGTCACTTGTCTGTGAGAGGCCCCAGATCGTCATCTATTATAAGCACAAGTCAGCTGTGCAGCTCTTGCCTTTAGGCAGTGATTACACTCTCACCATATTTATGTTATTCTACATAAAAATAAATGTTCAGGCAAATCAGCGGAATTGGTGACTATTCAAGTCATCTTTGTTCCTAAACATATAAATGTTTAGAGAATGTGATAGCAGACAAGACATCCAATCTGATTACTAATTTGAACTAGTTGATTGTAGATAGGCTGATCTTCTGCCAGTTGTTATATAAACCCAAAATATTCTGCCGATTGGAGTTATCAGTGGGCACTAGTGCTGACCAAATACACATTTGTTTCTGTAGAGTGATGCACCCATCAACTCTTTAATCCATCTGACATGCATGTTAACTGTTTACTGCTTATCGTGTAATTTTCTCATTATGGCAGTGCCAATTCATCCGTATATTTCTGCCTCGTCTCCTCATCATGGTTCTTAGGTGCCTAGGCCTACTGATAGGATGGTCGAGCCACATGTGGTGTCACCAGGCACAGGAGCAGTTGATGGACTTAAAATGTCACCAGAGTGGTAGCTGTTTATACATACTGGGGGTTATTTACTAAAATTGTAGAGTGCAAAATCTGGTGCAGCTGTGCATACAACTATTCAGCTTCCAGGTTTTATTGTCAAAGCTTAAAGCAGATCTCCACCAAAAAGTTTCACTTTTAAGGACTCATCCCCCCCCACTCCCCGTGAAGAATTGGCACCTTTGAAGAACGGGGGGCGGGGGGAGGTGAGAGGGTACCCGGTTTTGACAGGTACCCACACCCACTTCCGCTCCAATTGGAAGCAAAAGTTCAATTTTATCATTGTACTGTACATAGTCTGTGCAGAGAGCAGAGCTGTGGGAGGCACCTGACAGGCATCACCTATTACATGCTGCCTGCAGAAAAACTACATAAAGGGGGCAAATACAATACCAGACCCTGCACAAGGACAGGGAAGAGCAGAAACAGGCTGTTATTGCAGGAAGTTCCTGTTTTTACACTGAATTACAGTACAGATCTGAAAA